CCCCTTGTTTGGCTCAGCCAATCAGAAAAATCCCCAAAAATTCCCTAAAAAAATCCACAAAAATTCCCAAAAAAATCCAAAAAAATTCCCCAAAAAATCCCAAAATATTCCCCAAAAAACCCCAAAAAATTCCACAAGAAATCCAAAAAATTCCCAAAAATTCCACAAAAAATCCATTTGAAATCCTTTTAAAATTCCCATAAAAATTCATAAAAATGCCCATAAAATTCCCATTAAAACCCTGGAATGTGGCTCTGAGCTGGCAGCCCCCAGTGGAAGCCAATGGCAAAATTACAGGTAAAAAAATGCACCAAAATTCAATTTATAATTTCTAAAAAATTCCAAAAAATCCCCCAAAAAAGTCCAGAAAAATTTTTAAAAAATCCTCAAAAACATCTGAAAAAAATTCTGAATAAATTCCTCAAAATTTCCAAAAAAATCACAAAAAAATCGCCAAAAAATCAGAAAAAAATCCAAAAAAATTCCCAAAAAATCCTAAAAAAAATCCAAAAAAATCCTCAAAAAATTCCCCAAAAATTCATGAAAAAAATTAAAATAAATCTGTAAAAATCCCATTTAAGATCCATTAAAAATTCCCATAAAAATCCCATAAAATTCTCTTATGGCTCACCTGTCAATCACGCTGAAGCCCCGCCCCTAGTTTGGCTCAGCCAATCAGAAAAATTCCAAAAAAATTCCCCAAAAAAATCCCCAAAAATTCCCCCAAAAAAATCCCAAAAAATCCCCCCAAAAATTCCCAAAAAAATCCCTAAAAAATACAAAAAAATTCCCCAACAAATCCATAAAAATTCTTCCAAAATTTCTAATATATCCTCTAAAAATCTTGTAAAAATCCCACAAAAATTCAAAAAAAAATTTTAAAAGTTCCAAAAAAATCAGGAAAAAATCCCAAAAAAATCCCATAAAAATTTTGTAATTACAGGTAAGAAACACACAAAAATTGAAATTAAAGTTTCCAAAAAAGGCAAAAATTTTCCATGAAAATTCTTTAGAAATCCGAAGAAAATTGGCCAAAAATTCACTGAAAAAAACCGAAAATTAAAGGAAAAAAATCACTGAAAAATATCTCAAAAAATTTGGAAAATCCTCAAAACATCCTCAAAAAATTCCCAAAAATTTCTTAAAAATCGCACCAAAATCAGGAAGAAAAGAATAAAAATTCCCCATAAAAATCCCAAAAGTTCTGAGAAAATTCCCAAAAAAATCCCAAAAAATTCCCATTAAAATCCCCAAAAAATCACCAAAAATTCCCAAAAAAATCCAAAAAATTCTCCAAAAATTCCCCCAAAAATCCCTAAAAATTCTCAAATAATCCTGAATCCATCCTCAAAAAAACCTAATTGAAATCTAATTAAATGCTCATTAAATTAATTAACAAAAAAATTAATTTCTCACCTTTGGGTGCCTTAATATAAACAGGCTCTGCCAGGGGATGGGCTGGGAAAGGCTCCCAAAATGGGGCCAAAAATGGCTCAAAAAAATCCCAAAAAAGTCCCAAAAAAATCTCAAATAATTCTGAATCCATCCTCCATAAAACCTAATTGAAACCGAATTAAAAGCTCATTAAAATAATTAACATAAAAATTAATTTCTCACCTTTAGGAGAATGGCAATAAACGAGTTCTGCCAAGGGTCCCGGTCCTTTGGAAATCCTGGCCTGGATTTTCCAAATGCAACCAAAAACTGCCCTAAAAAAAACCCAAAAATTTCCAAAAAATTCTCCAAAAACCCCAAAAAATTATTTAATTTTTAATAATTAATTTTGAATTAATTTTGTATTTTTCTAGGTTATACAATTTATTATTCACCAATCAAATCAGCTCCAATCTCGGAATGGATCCCTCAGGCTGTGGGAGCCGAGCGCCTTTCCCAGCCAATCCCTGAGGGGCTGCTGGACTCCGGATCCTTCTTCAGAATCCAGGCCAGGAATTCCAAAGGACCGGGACCCCTATCCGAATCCATCTATTACCGTTCTCCTAAAGGTGAAAATTTTTTTTTTTTTGTTAATTAATATAATTACATTTCAATTAGGTTTTAATGGGGATTGATTGGGGATGGGGTCAGGATTATTTGAGATTTTTTTGGGATTTTTTGGGGATTTTTTTGAGCCATTTTGGCCCCATTTTTGGAGCAATTCCAAAGCACCGGGACCCCTATCAGAATCCATCTATTACCGTTCTCCTAAAGGTGAGAATTTCTTTTTTTTTTGTTAATTATTTTAATGAGCTTTTAACTAGGTTTCAATTAGGTTTTATTGAGGATGGATTCAGGATTATTTGAGATTTTTTTGGGAATTTTTTTTTATTTTTTTGGGCCATTTTTGGTCCCATTTTGGGAGCAATTCCAAAGCACCGGGACCCCAATCGGAATCCATCTATTACCGTTCGCCTAAAGGTGAGAATTTTTTTTTTTCTTAATTAATTTAATTAAATTTCAACTAAGGTTTAATGGGGATTGATTGGGGATGGGGTCAGGATTATTTGAGAATTTTTTGGGATTTTTTGGGGATTTTTTTGAGCCATTTTGGCCCCATTTTTGGAGCAATTCCAAAGCACCGGGACCCCTATCCGAATCCATCTATTACCGTTCTCCTAAAGGTTAGAATTTTTTTTTTTTTGTTAATTAATTTAATTAAATTTCAATTAAGTTTTAATGGGGATTGATTGGGGATGGGGTCAGGATTATTTGAGAATTTTTAGGGATTTTTTGGGATTTTTTTGGGCCATTTTTGGAGCAATTCCAAAGCACCGGGACCCCTATCCGAATCCATCTATTACCGTTCTCCTAAAGGTGACAAATTATTTTTTTGTTAATTATTTTAATGAGCTTTTAATTCAGTTTCAA